GCAAGAAAATTTTTCTTTTCCCTACTTTAAAAAAAAAAAACCGGGTCCAGGCAGCTCTGTTTGCTTTTTCTCTTTCTCTAGCTTTCAAAGGAGCTCCCACGTGATGACTGTTATTAGGTCACCCTGAAATTGTAAGCAGTGGAGAAACATATGTATATCTTCTACTTTCTTGGAATCTATTATCCTGCCGTGAAAGGTAATGCTCTTCTCTGCTTCCTTCCCAGCTCGCATTTGCCCTACCTGCTGGCATAATGGAAAATGACCATTTACAGCTCCACGAGAGCTTAAAGCCTCTCCTGGTACAAGGATGGTGAGGGGGCCTGCAGGCCAAGGGCATGATCTCAAAGCCAGAGGTGCCCTGTTAGTGGATGTGAAGTACACAGAGTGAGTTTTGTATGCACATATAAATATGTATCTTATCACCCTTGAGTGATTTTTGGAATCCATAAAGGCTTCAACTTGAACATCTAATTGGGGCTTCCCTGGTGGCGCAGTGGTTGAGAGTCTGCCTGTCGATGCAGGGAACACGGGTTCGTGCCCCGGTCCAGGAAAATCCCACATGCCGCGGAGCGGCTGGGCCCGTGAGCCATGGCCGCCGAGCCTGCGCGTCCGTAGCCTGTGCTCCGCAACGGGAGAGGCCACAACAGTGAGAGGCCCGCGTACCGCAAAAACAAACAAACAAAAATATCTAATTGGAGTCACTTTTACCAGCACAAGCCAAAAGAAACCAAATCTGCTTTGGACTCAGAACTATCCCGACACCTAGTATTTGATAGTCCTGGCATTGGAAGTGAATCCTCTCAGAGTGTATCTCTGACCCCGGGGATGTTCTATCAGATTAGTTTTCCATTGATGATAGTTATCTTTAGCCGATCAGGGATTTCATTCTAAAAGTTAGCATAGCTTTAATAGGAATAAGAACCATGCTTCACCCAGGCCTTTTCAAGATTAAATGGGGATGGGGCATGGGGCAGAAAACAGTATCTGTGACAAAGCACAGATGGAAGAGTCCTCTTCTTGTGGCGATGAGCCCAAGGATCCAGACTTCCCACCCTGCCCGCAATCTGACCCACAGCTTCACCAGCCTAACTGTTTCCTCCAATGGTCGGGAAATGTTACGTTGACCTATTGGCCAAAATTACACAGGACCCTCATCTAGATTAGATACAGAGATGGCAGCTGTGTATTTTAATTTTCAATTTAGGCTGAAAGCATTCTCTCTCTTTTTTTTTTTTTTTAAATAGGAAGGAATATGGCATTTCTAAACTCTGGAAAACTTCACTGAAACAAGTCATTCATCACGTATTATTTTATGTAGTTGCTTCACTTAAAAACCTCTCGGTTTCTTTTCCCACACCATCCCAACTCCAGGCAGGTGTTAGGATACTTACGTGTCTGAAAAGCACTCCGAGATCCTTGTCTAGAGGGCTCTGTGTGGAAGCAAAAAGTATTGTGTTTTATCAGTTATTCATTAACATATGAAGCAGTTGTCTGGAAATGGGAACAGGCAAAATATTTACCTTGTTTATTCCTTTTTCTTTTATGGTATATTACAAAGAGTACCACGGATAAAAGTAGGACGACCAATAAAATCACTGGGATCAACCCCATTAATATAAACTGTAATTGGCCTGCATCTTCATTAATAAGGGTAGAACTCATACTGACAGTGAATATTTCTGTGGTCACCACAGCAAATGTGCTTGGAACCGTAGCCTCTTCATCCTGGCTTCCCATGTCTGTGGGCATTTCTGCTGACAGTTCTGTTTCTTCCATTTCTGTGGGAACACACACAAAATTGAGATGGTCATGGAGACAAAGTTAGTATGGTATGTTTTCAATGATTTGAAATTTATACTACATGCATCCAGTGATAAACTTGATCCACTGGCTTTGGTCTTCCAGTTCAGTGTGACACAGAATACTATTGATCGAACATAAATGGAGCTCAACCTGGGAGTATATTGAACATGGATCAGAGCCCAGAGATAAACCTCCCACAAAGGCAGGCAGTTTAGACGCACTTAAGCCAAGGGCATTGAGAAGCTTTGTTGTGTCAAGGGCGATATTCCAGGATATCCTATAGGGTATTTTAATAACATTTCTGAATAAATCTAAATTCCCTTTTACTGAGAGTTAAGCACTTGCCACGTAACACTTTTAGGTAAAAGGATTGCACTGTGTCCTAATTTTTTTTTATATATAAAAGTTTACCTACCAATGGAAAAGAATCCTTTGAAATCAGGGCGACTGATCAGATGTCAGTGTAGGCCTCAGTTCTGCAGAGAACTAAGTCGCCTCTGAAATGATCCTACAGAAATCCTCCTGGACTCTAAATAAAAATATAATGTGTATCTCATTTGTAAAGTGAAATTCTCAAGGGGAAGTTCCCTTAGAAACTAAGAAAACTGCACCAATATTTAAATTTATTGAATAACATGCATCTTTAGAACTTTCCCTATTAATAAGCTATATGCATATTTATTCTGTTGGGACTTCAGATTGTGTTCGAAAACATCCGTGGTTCATCACAGGATAGGAAAAGACTAGTAGCTAGATGATTATTTGAAAAATCTTTCCTCACCCGGCTCTGTAGTGACCATGATCAGGAGAGCCCAGGTTTTCTTCCCATCGCGGTACAGTGTTGCCTATCATTCAGGTGGGGTCCAATGAGAAAACCAGCATATGAGCTGAGGCTACAGACAAATTATCCAATGGGATAATTTATGTGAAAGTTCTTTCTAAGGTGAAAGTTACTCTGCAAAGGAAGATGTCCACTACCTGAAGCCATGTTCAGGCATGTTAGGCCACCACCCAGAGGGTGACCAACTGGGCATCGCAGGGTCAATTCAGTCCTTAGCTCTCCACATGACTGCATGACAATGATTTATAAAAGTATTCCTTTGATCACAGTCTAACTTTTCAGTTATATAAACACTTCAATTTCTCCGAAGACCAGGGGATCCACTTGGTAACCATATCTGTCAATGCCACCCCAAACCCTCAGAATCAATTACAAACTGCAGAGTCTAAGTAACTGGTGTTCTTCTCGTGTATATACTGAAAGCAGGATTAAAAAATATCTACCACTTATTTTTTTTTTTTTTTTTTTTTTTTTTTTTTCT